CATGTCTGTAGCTGGCAGTCTCTTCCTGGTAACTTATATGGTGGTGGAAGTTGGCTTGCTGCCCTCTGCTGGGATCGTGATATAGCACTATTCTGGTGCCAGAGCTGAGGCTGGGAGCTAGCTGGATCTTACAGGTGGTTACTGTTTCTAATACCCGTGGAAGAAAGGGAAGAGGAGAGAACTGTCCACTTCGCTCCTGGAAAGCAGAGGGCTGTATTTGAGCACCTCTTTCACTATAGTTGGCTGCCTTCTCTGATTCCAAGTTCTTCAGTTGAGTGTAGTTGAGTATAGTGCCTGCGTGTGCACGTGAATGTGAACATTTGCACTCGTTCTTGGGGAATGTTAAACACTGAGTCTCACCCCTTGTGTCTTAGTCATTTTTTTTTTAAATTTTTGCATTCTGATAATTGGACATCTTGAAGCTTTGCTGGGTCTGGAGAGACTGCTCTCTCAAAGAACTGTAAATATAATCCAGCCAACCCAGAACCTAGATCTTCACTTCTCTCCTTTCCTGGCCTCTTCCATTTACTGCCACAATCACTCCAAGACCAGGCACTTTTCATAGGATCCAATACAAGAGTAGGAAAATCAGAATTGTAACTGAAGAATTTCTGTAGGCTCTGAGTAGATAGGTTTAATGGCTAACACTGTTGGATTCAGTCCCAGAGGCTTCCTGTACTCCAAGATATTTATCCAACTTATTAAAAAGTATGTTAACACAAAACTCTGTTTGAGCTGGGGTGTAGTGGTGTGCTTGCCTACCATTTGTGAGGGTGTGGTTTTGAGCCCCAGCACCAGGAAAAAGAAAACAAAAGTTCAAACCATAACAAAACAAACCACGAAAATCTACACATGAATATTTGCAGCTTTATTCACATTGCCGAAACCTTGAAACAATCCTTGACTACCACTGCTGGTTCGCTGTCATTGTCTTCTTGGTTAGAATCATCTGGGAGACAGAGCCCTGAACATTTCCATGAAGGTGTTTCCAGGAAGCTTTAACTGAGGGAACACTCCCTCTGAATATGGACAGTAACTTTTCTTGGGCTCAGTCCCCAGATGGAATTAAGGGGAGAAAACAGGAGAGCTGCATTTCCAGCTCTCTGCTTCCATACTGCAGACACAGTGTAAGCAGCTGCCTAGCACTCCTGCTAGGCAGGATTTCTTTCCCAACACCCTGCACTCTACCCTTAAGAGGAGAGCCAAAATGAACCCTTCTTAAGTTGCTTTTGTGAGGTATTTTGTCACAGCCACAAGAATAAGTAATATAGAAGGTAAGTAGGTAAATGCAATAGTAAATGGGTAAATGATAACTATAGTACCTCTAGATAAGTTGACACCAGCAATTAAAAAAAAAAAAGTTCTACCACCAGATGAAAAGATGTCTAAGGGATGAAGCCAGTGTGCGTTCTGTGCAGGCTGTGACAGCTCTGTGACACCTTGAAGAGGGAAACCACACAGCAGGGGCTGCTGGGGGTTGGGGATGTAAGGGGGAAGTAGAGAAGGACAAGAGAATGAACTACAAAGGGATTTTTAGAGCAGTGAAAACACTCGGAGTGATGCTCTAGTGGTCTAGGTATATGTCACTGTACATCTGTACAAACCCATGGAGTGTCCAATACCAGGACTTGGTGTGGACTGTGGACTTCAGGTGATAGTGATAGTTTAATGCAGAATCATCAGTTTTCACAAGTGGATTGGGTGCTGATGGAGGGAGGGGCTGCCTGCTTGCGGGGGACAGAGGTTAAGTTGGAAATATCTGCATTTCTTGCTCAGTGAACCCACAACTACTCAGAAGAATAAAGTCTATTTTGAAGTGAAATAACTCTCCTCAAAGCCTCTTGTTTCTGGGGTGAGGGGGGCTTTCCACATGCTACACAAACACAACATCACTGCTACACCCCATACCTTCCAGTCTTGATACCAAGTTGTCCTATTCTCAAAGTATAAATAACTCATTTTTTTTTTCTATTGCAAAGCAAAAGGGCTGGTTATTCTAAAAAGTAATTTAATTGGGGTAAAGTTTGTACCTATTTTAAATGCATTATCTGCTGTGGGTTTTTTTGTTTTGTTTTGTTTTTTCCATTTTGGTTGTTTTCAGTTTGATGAGTTTTTGCAGTTGAAATCCCCGTCTGTAACCACAAGCCCTCACACTGAAGATACAGAACATTCCTACCGGCTGACCAGTCCCCTCCCACTCTGTGCAGCACTTTCCAGACTCCAGCCCTAGAAGCCACGGATTACTTTTTCTTTTCTTCTAAGACTGGCTTTGCCTGTTTAAGAATTTCACATAAACAGATTATGAGGTTCAGACTCTTTTTTGTGTCTTGCTTCTCTTACTTGGTGTAATATACAGTTTCCTATGCAGTTTTAACAATTCCATGGAGTTAACCTAGACCCCTTGCTCAGATGTAGCCTATGGGAGCTCAGCCTCCAAGTGGGTACCTAGTAAGGGGAACAGGGACTGTCTCTGGCATGAACTCCGTGGCTGGCTCTTTGATCACCTTCCCCTGAAGGGGGAGCAACCTTACCACAGAGGAAGACAATGCAGCCAGTCCTCATCTAGTTTTTTTTTTTTTTTGACGCTTTCCTGTGAATATTTAATTTTTTATGAAGCCCAGTTATTCTTTTGTTTTCATTTACAGTTTATGGGATTTATTTATTTATTTGTCAAAGTGAACACATCCTTTTTTTAATGAATGATGAAAATTAAGATTTTGGATATTTGTTCTCCAGAAATAAAGGAGAATTCTGGATAGGAACATTTCTGTACCTGCTAGGGCCCTTCCTCAGCCCTGCACACAGTGCCTCTGAGTCTCCAGCTCCATGTCAGTTCTTTAATGGCAGTTTGGTCTCTTGACTTTTGTTTTATCCCCCAGTTCTGGAAGAACTCCTTAGGGCTTTTCAACCCATTACTCACTGCCGAGGCTGAGACTGGGAGGAACAATAGAATAATAGATAGATTTTGTACTTCCTTTTTAATAGGTTAAGTTGCTGGCTACTCTTCATAGAATTTTTAGAGCTATTTATTTATTTATTTAGACTGGGTCTCTTGTAGCCCAGGTTGGCCTCAGTCAAGAGGCAACTAAGAATGCACCAGTTTTTATAAAGTTGGAAATCTAACTTAGGACTTCTTTTTTTTTTTTCACTTTTAAAAATTTATTTATATTTTTATAAATTACAGTTTATTCACATTGTATCTCAGCTGTAGCCCCCTCCCACATTCCCTCCCAATACCACCCTTTATCATCCTTCATCTCCTTCTGTGCCCCTCCCCCAGTTCACTGATAGGGGAGGTCCTCCTCCCCTTCCATCTGACCCTAGTCTATCAAGTCTTATCAGAACTGTATGCATTATTTTCCTCTGTGGCCTGGTAAGGCTACTCTCCCATCAGGGGGAGGTAATCAAAGAACCAGCCACTGAGTTCATGTCAGAGAAAGTCCCTGTTCCCCTTATTAGGGAACCCGCTTGGACACTGAACTGCCGTGGGTTACATCTGTGCAGGGGTTCTAGGTTATCTCCATGAATAGTCCTTGGTTGGAGTATCAGTCTTAGAAGTCTTTTTTGAGACTGTGCCCAGATATTTTGGTTCTGTTGCTCTCCTTGTGGAGCTCCTGTCCCCTTCAGGTCTTCATTTCTCCCTGTTCTTGCTAGGTAAGTGCTGTACCAAATGAGCTACGTCCCCAGCCTCTCTTTATAAAGACTAAAAGCATGGGACCTGGTGAACACATTTATAAAGATCATTGGGGGAAGCAAAACTATTTTTATCTTTTTTTGAGGGTGCCAAGGCTGGGCCTCAGGGCCTCACACAGGTTAGGCAAATACCAGTGATCTACACTCCAACACTGTTAACTTTTAAACTATGAGAAAAACATGTACCTTTTGAGCTTATTCATCTTTCAGAGTGTCAGATGGGGTCTGGCTACTTCTTCGTCACAGAACAGGTATGTCTAAGCATTTGCAGATGCTTAGATGCAGATGCTTAACACTGTTAATGATAACAGAGACTAGACCCTCAGGAACTGAAATCTTATTACGTATCATTAAGAAGTTCTCTTCAAAGATCTAAGGTTAAAAAGATGTTTTAAATGGGCTGAAGCCTCAAGGCCTCAAAATGAGAGTAATGAACCATGGAAAGTATTAGTAAGTCAAAGGGTTGATGCAACTTGGTTGAACTTTTACTAGAACTCACTTTGGTGAGGTTTAAGCAAGACCCCCAAGGCCATCATAATCCATATGTTTTAAGAAGATTTATCTTAAATGGGAGATACTTAACTTTCATATGTGGTCCGTTTTTAAGAATTTAATAGTTTTGAATTATATTCTTTTTGTTATATGGTGATTATACTTGACTGAGTTTCATTTTGAACCACTTAGGAGTCATTTTTGCTCAATGTTATTCAAGATGCACTAGTCAATCAAATCAAGAAGGCCTAGCTTTTGTGCTGCAGCAACCACCACCACCTCTGGTTTTCTTGTGACATGATTGAGTAGGGAGCAATTAACTCCAACTAAGTGGAGCAGGTCAAGTGGGGCAGGTCAAATGCACAGAGAGCCGGCAATTAAATAGGCCCAGTGGACACTTGGCTGTGAAACCTGGGAGGATGTTTCCAAGCGTGTATCCATGGGTAGCTTCAGATGAGTGGTGGGCGTCTGGAATGAATGGAATGGCAGGCACAGGCTTGACGCATCCCCCATACACATAGTAACATGGCTTTCTCAGTATTTCAGATTAGCTTACTCATGTCACACCAATAGCCTGATTCCCAGAGCATGGAAGAAATGTGTTGGCAAAGAATGTAGTCCGACGTAAAGTATGATAGAATATGGTATCTTGACATGCAGCTGGATGGTGGTGTTAGCTACAGTGAAAATCACCCATTTTTGTTTCTAATTAGTGTGTGTGTGTGTGTGTGTGTGTGTGTGTGTGTGTGTGTGTGTGTGTACCATGCCATACATGTAGAGGCCAACTTCACCAAGTTGATTCTCTCTTTCCACAGATGGGGTCCCTGGATTTTTCATCTGTCATCAGTCACCAAACACCTTTACCTGCTGGGTCATTTCACCAGTTCCCAATTCTATTTTAAATTCAGGCAGGATGAAGACTAAATGCAGAGATAAGCTCTGGACATCATCTTTTGCCAAGAAGAGCCCATCAGAAAGAGCAAGAATTCACATCCAGTGAAGTACACTGGAATGGGAAGGTCAGACTTCTTCTACCCAGAAATCCAGGCAGGCTACCATGACGTAGAATCAGACAAGGGGATCTAAGTCTCTGTAACCCAGGAACCAAGAGTCAGGCATCCTTGTTACTAGGTTCGTCTATTCTCAGTGGCTACTTGCCTGGTTCTTGTCTTGGTGCATAGGGTGGAAAAAAGTCTGCATACTGGAGCCAGAGAACCATCATCATAGGAAAGAAGTACCAGGGATGGGAGTGTGGGCAGAGGACAGATGGTCACTGTGATAGAATTTCCTGCCTCCTGCTACATGTTCCTGCATTAGCTCACCTATCAGCCCAGTTGAGGGGTGTTTTCTTTTCTTACTTTGTTTTTACTACATCTTCTTACTGAGTAGGAGGAGATTTTCCCAGATTGCCAGCCAGTTCAAGATCTTAGTTGTAAAGAGTTAGGAAGCAAGGGTGTGGAGTGGGAGGAGGGACAAAGAAAATCCTCCTGGACTGCCAAAGGCATTTGTCATCTTGTTTGACACTGTCATCACAGAGCCTAAGGAAACCTCTGTAAACAATTTGACATTTCTTTATTTTGAAGCAGCTGAAACCTGCCTTACCTGTGAGATCGCCTCATCTTGCTAATGACCATAATTGTTGGGTCTCTGACCAGCCATGACCCAGCCTTGATAATGGTGCTAAAAGCAAACCTGGAGCCAGGTAATCTGCGGTACCCTCCCTTCCAGTGTGCACATGGCAGCTGGAAGGATGGCAGACAAGTCAGAGGTTTAGTGGTGTCTTCCTTTCAGTGCTTTTTAGTTTGGGTCAGAGGGAAGCACTGCACATACTGAAGAAGTCTGGTTTGGGGAAATGCCTGGGGCACATTATTGCTTAGCAGTGAGCCCAGAAAAAAAAATGCTCATATTCTTACAATATTACAGAAAAAAAAAAAACATACAAAGTACAGGGGGAAAAAAAAAAACAATGCTGAAAATGTTGCTCAGTTGGGAGGCTACTCCCAGCATTCTCAAAGCCCTAGGTTTGATCTCCAGGACTTCAAAAACTAGGTAGTACATTCCTATAATTCTAGAGCTCAGGAGGTGGAGATGATGGAAAGGTCAGGACAAGGTCATTCTCAGCTCTGCAGCAAGTTTGAGGCCAGCCTGGGACACTCAAGACTCTGTCTCAAAAAGCCCCTAAGAAGATGTGTTGATGCTAGGACATGGCTCTTGGTTCAACAGTGGGAGGGGTGACATAACAAAGTGCTTCCTTGACAGAGACAAAAACCAGATGGGCAAACACTAGTTTATAATGAATTTACAAAGGAAATAAATCTTTTAAATGATTAAACTGATCTTGTACTGGGTATTTCATCCCTTGGGGAGCAGGAGGATCAGGAGTTCAAGAATATTGTCCATTATATAGCCAATTCAAGGCTAGGCTGGGCTATAGGAGATCTTTCAAGAGACCAAACAAGCAAACAAACAAACAAACAAAACAAAAAAACTAGACAGACAAAAAGTGCTCTTGAGAGTAGATATTGATAACTGGACAATGCTCAACTTCATGTTTTCCATTACCAACAGTCCTGAATATGTTAAAGCTGCCTGGTTACCACAATGCTATGTGTGAAATTCAACCCTGCTAATATCCCAGCAAAGAATAGGTTGGTTGCCATAGTGACCCCGTGGGTAGTCCTGGCTCTAGATTTGGCCTAGTGTAGATTTGGGGGTCCCCCCCAGGTCAAACAGCAATTGAATTAAGGGCTCATCTGCTAATTCTGTGGAGAATGGATGGGATGGATGGAAAGAGAAGTAAAAAGGCTATGGATAAGAGAGATAGGGGCAGAAAGAAGCAGCAGCAAAAGCCAGAAAGCCACACTTTGAGCTGTCAGGCCAGTGAAGAGCCAAGAAGACAACAGTGTGCTTGGGGTAATAGTCCTTTCCTTAGTAACGGGGAGACATAAGGAGAGAGAGGCAATCAGTGCTGGGGACAGAAAACCACAGCTCCTGTCCTGTGCAGGTGGCTGATGCTCTGAGCCTCAGCTCTGTCCTGAGGTGGGTGGGATGGAGCAGGGAATTTGGGACAACCTGCTGCAAGCAGGCTATCCACCTTCAGATAACTGATTCAGTTCCAGGATAATGCTGCTTCTCTTCAGTTACAGACAGCTGGCTTCTCAGAACCGTGGTGATGCCTCCCCTGCCCTCTTCCTTCTGCCCAATCACACCAGCTTTGAGTCACCTTCAGGTTTGGTCTGATACCTTGAGGACATGGGCTCACAAGTAAATCCTTGAAATACCTAGCATCTACATTTCTTGTAACAATAACTCACTAAGTGTTAAATGTTTCTTTGGGAGGCCAGTAGGAGGGCTCAGCAGGTAAAACTGCTTGCTTTGCAAGCCTGATGATCTGAATTCTATTCTCAGAACTCACACAAAGGTGGAAGGAGAGAACTAACTCCCACAGTTCCTACTGTCACCTCCGTGTGTGCTGTGGGACTATGTTTACACTTGTAGATACACTCAATCACAGTAAATACAGTTTTTGATTCATTACAATCATTCTTAGCATATAAAACAAAATACCTAATATATATCTTAATATAAAATGGATATATATTGGAAATCCATCTCTGAGTGAGATCAGTGGAACATTAAAAGTTATTTTTTAATTTAATTTTTTTAATTAACTACACTTTATTCACTTTGTGTCCCCCCATAAACCCTCCTCCTCCCCTCCCGATCCCACCCTCCCACTCCCTTCCTTATGCATGCCCCTCCCCAAGTCCACTGATAGGGGAGGTCCTCCTCTCCTTCTTTCTGATCTCAGTCTATCAGATCTCATCAGGAGTGGCTGCATTGTCATCTTCTGTGGCCTGGTAAGGCTGCTCCCCTCTCAGGGGGAGGTGAGCAAAGAGCAGTCCAATCAGTTTATGTCAGAGGCAGTCCCTCTTCCCATTACTATGGAACCCACTTGGACACTGAACTGTCATGGGCTACATCTGTGCAGGGGTACATTAAAAGTTATTAATATTTTAATATTTCATTTACTTATTTGTCCATGGGTGAAGCTTTTTTTGGGGGGGGTAGGGTTCTGCATCAATTCTCATTTTATGTTTTTTTTATGATAAGCAATGAGAATTTTTTTCAAAAACTGAGGAAACAGGGAATGTAAGTTTTGCTATGTAAGTCATTCAATTGATCTGCCAAATAGACAAAACAAAGCTCTGAAAACTTCCCATTGTGACAAAATTGCTTTTGATGATTATCAGCTGATTGACTGGTTCCTAGTGACATCCCCCGTGTCTGCTTTAACACTGAGCTGCTTTTGCTTTGGCACTCAGAAGCTTTCCTGCCACCAAGGGAAGACGTTGAGATACAGGGACGTGTGGAATAGGACACGGGAAAAGACAACTACCCACTCAGCGATTCACACGTTGGCTCATTCACTGGCAAGTCACATTTAGGAAAGATACAAGATACTTGGGGACCCTCCAGAGCAGTGGAGGTCGCTTTGGAAAGTCTTAGGACCCTTGCAAACATAGATTACATCTGCACCTGGCTTTAATTCCAACCTCCTTGGCCCTTCTTCACCGTATTGCATGGTCTACTTCTAGAAGTCGCAAGTTTCTCCCATTCTCGTGCCACTGGCTGCTGCAGGCAGATTCCTTTCTTCTTCATTTCCCATTCTCCTTCCCTCTTTTCATTTCTCCCACTCCCATCCTCTCTCCCTGACTCCCTCTTCCATTTCTTTCTTTCTTCTTTTCTTTTCTTTCCACTTAAAAATTCCAATAGGAATAGATATTTTATTAAAAACAAACAAACAAACAAACAAACGAATTTGGAAATGTGCCAGAGGTGAACAGGCCGAGGTCAGGTAGTTAGATGTGCCTAGCGTCGACCCCACTTGCTCACAGGCTGGGGTACACTGGGTGTGGCTGAATGACATTCAGTGACCCGCCCCTGCCCATCTTCCACGCCACATTCTGCTCAACTTGAAACAGGGAGTTTTGCCCAGCTTCTGTTTGCTTTCCTCCCTCATCCTTATGCCTGGAACATTCATTTATCTGTACCCGCTTCCAGCCTGGTACACTCCTACACACGCTGAAGCGTCAGCTCCCTGTAATCTCGTCGGGGAGGCTTTCCAACTCGCCTGGTGTTCCTGGCTATCGGCTAACTTGGCAAGCGCAGATAGCATTTTCAGGCATTTCCCTGTCTCCTTCACTAGAAGGAGTAACTCAAGGGCTGTGCCTTCCCTCCCCAAACTCCAGTGAAAGCTATTTATGATGCGGAGGGCGTTTGTTGCGGATACAGCCCTCTGACCTGCAGGTGTTTCAGAAACAGTTGTGAGAAGTTTCTGGATTCTTGTTCCCAGCTAAGCATTCGGTGTCGGGACGGAAGCACGTCCCAGCCCGATATTCAAGAATTTATACTGAAATGTTCCAGAGACCCCATCTTCAAAGGATCCGCTCTTCTAGTGCAGTCTCACTCAAGAACACGAGATGGCGCTCCTGGAGGGCTGGAAGGCCCTAGGCTCTCCTCTCTCTCTCTCTCTCTCTCTCTCTCTCTCTCTCTCTCTCTCTCTCTCTTCCCCCCTCCTCTCTCTTTCTCCTGGTTAGCCTATATGTATGTAATTTGAGATAAGGAACTCAATTCATTCTGACACCTTCCCTTCTCTCTCCCTAAACTCACTTTCTGACCTTTTCCTGGGTCAAAGAAAAGCTGAGCTATTCAAGTCTAAAGGGTTATTCTTGTTTAGAAGCTAAAACCAAACTCTGGGTTGTGAAATTAAGCACGGCATGGATTACTGGAGTCTTGATGTCAGAGCCTCTGAATTACCTATACCAACGCTTAGCTTGGCTTAGAAGGCTGCAAAGCCCTTACAGATATCTAAAGTAAGCATCAAAGAAGCAATGCTGGGAGAGAATTCGGAGCTGCCCCACACCAGTGTTCTCAGGTTACTGCATTGGGGCTAGTTAGGGTCACCCGCTCCACATTTCTGGACTTCTGCTCAGGGCACCTAGGAGCTACATGGGATCCATAATCCTCTTCTGGCCTCCTGAAGTACCCATATTACATATGACACATGCACGTACACATAAATTGAGAGAGAGAGGAGAGAGGGAGGAGAGGTGTTAAGTAAAGTAGTGAACAGACTTTAAAGTCAGCTTTGTTCAAATTAAATGGACATCTTCGTTTGATTTTTTAAATCTGCCTAGTAGTGACCTCCTTACCTTGAGGCCTGATTAAGCCAGCTGTGGAGCCTCTCTGGTGTAGTCAAGACTGATGTCAGCAAAGTTGCAAACAGTCATCACCAGCCAGACTGCCTGCAAAGCTGAAGGAACTGCCTGCCACATTCATTCCCAGAGGTGCACAAAAACACAGCCTCACTTTCCATGCTGGATTGGTTTCCAGGTAGTTTCAAAGATGCCAGTAAAGCAAATTTTCTGTATTAAACTCTCAGATCGAGGTCTACCTTTTAACATGTGTAAGGTAAACCCTTCTCTTTGTCTCTCTCTTTCTCCTTCTGAGTTGTCAGCAGAATTATAGATAGTCTCTATGACAGAGAGAGATGGTGAGAGAGAGATTGAGTGAGTTTATGTAGTGCTGGGCATCAAACCCAGGGATTCCTGCATACCAAACACTTCTTCCCAACACAACACACAGGCCACTTGTAAACATAGGCCACTTCAGAAGCTCAATGGGTATAATCCAATTTGCTTTTCATAACTAAGGTTTGATTGTAGGTGTTCAAACATTAGTAAGGTAGAGCCTTAATATAACCCTTATGTCTCCCTGTAATGTCAATGGCAAATATAATCTCAGGCAGAAATCTTTTTCCCTTAATACAGAATGTTAGTCCAAAACTTTAGAGGAGATCTTTCTCTATGTGATAGAGAGGCAGAGAGAAAGAAACAGACAGGAAAACTCATGAAAGTGTGTTTTTAGTTACTTTCAATAAAAAAAGACATTTGTTTTGTGTATCTATATAAGTGGGTACATGTGTGCTCCAGTGCATGTGTGGAGGCCAGAAAGCAGTTTCAGGAACTAGGTCTGTCTTCTCTAACGTGGGCCCATCTGGGGATTAACATCAGGCCGCCAGTCCCATTGCAAGCTTCTGTACCTGCTGAGCCATCTCACTGGCACCCATCTTCAGTAACTTAAAAATGATGAAAGAGTTATTTATGGAACTAGATACTCTTTCTATCCCCTTGCTGTTTCCTTCTTCCTTCTTCTTCAAAAGGTTAGTCTTCTCCAGTGAAACGTCCTTCAGAAATTCAAATGGGCATGATCTCATAATTCAATTACTAGATAACTGCTCAA